ATCTTGCCCCTAGTGTCATCAGTTGGGAGACCCCCCCCCAGCACCAACCGCTGCTCTGAGATCACAGTGAAGAGAGGGGCCAAGAAGGCAGTTCCATCTTGCCCCTAGTGTCATCAGTTGGGAGACCCCCCCCCAGCACCAACCGCTGCTCTGAGATCAGAGTGAAGAGAGGGGCCAAGAAGGCAGTTCCATCTTGCCCCTAGTGTCATCAGTTGGGAGCCCCCCCCCCCCAGCACCAACCGCTGCTCTGAGATCAGAGTGAAGAGAGGGGCCAAGAAGGCAGTTCCATCTTGCCCCTAGTGTCATCAGTTGGGAGACCCCCCCCCCAGCACCAACCGCTGCTCTGAGATCACAGTGAAGAGAGGGGCCAAGAAGGCAGTTCCATCTTGCCCCTAGTGTCATCAGTTGGGAGACCCCCCCCCCAGCACCAACCGCTGCTCTGAGATCAGAGTGAAGAGAGGGGCCAAGAAGGCAGTTCCATCTTGCCCCTAGTGTCATCAGTTGGGAGACCCCCCCCCAGCACCAACCGCTGCTCTGAGATCAGAGTGAAGAGAGGGGCCAAGAAGGCAGTTCCATCTTGCCCCTAGTGTCATCAGTTGGGAGACCCCCCCCCAGCACCAACCGCTGCTCTGAGATCAGAGTGAAGAGAGGGGCCAAGAAGACAGTTCCATCTTGCCTCCAGAATCATCAATTGGGAGCCCCCCCCCAGCACCAACCTCTGCTCTGAGATCAGAGTGAAGAGAGGGGCCAGGAAGACAGTTCCATCTTGCCTCCAGAATCATCAATTGGGAGCCCCCCCCCCACACCAACCGCTGTTCTGAGATCAGAGTGAAGAGAGGGGCCACAAGAAGGCAGTTCCATCTTGCCCCTAGTGTCATCAGTTGGGAGACCCCCCCCCCAGCACCAACCGCTGCTCTGAGATCAGAGTGAAGAGAGGGGCCAAGAAGGCAGTTCCATCTTGCCCCTAGTGTCATCAGTTGGGAGACCCCCCCCCCAGCACCAACCGCTGCTCTGAGATCAGAGTGAAGAGAGGGGCCAAGAAGGCAGTTCCATCTTGCCCCTAGTGTCATCAGTTGGGAGCCCCCCCCCCCAGCACCAACCGCTGCTCTGAGATCAGAGTGAAGAGAGGGGCCAGGAAGGCAGTTCCATCTTGCCTCCAGTGTCATCAGTTGGGAGCCCCCCCGCACCAACCGCTGCTCTGAGATCAGAGTGAAGAGAGGGGCTAGGAAGGCAGTTCCAACTTGCCTCCAGTATCATCAGTTGGGAGACCCCCCCCCCAGCACCAACCGCTGCTCTGAGATCAGAGTGAAGAGAGGGGCTAGGAAGGCAGTTCCAACTTGCCTCCAGTATCATCAGTTGGGAGACCCCCCCCCCCCCCCAGCGCCAACTGCTGCTCTGAGATCAGAGTGAAGAGAGAGGCCAGGAGGGCAGTTCCATCTTGCCTCCGGTGTCATCAGTTGGGAGACCCCCCCCCCAGCACCAACCGCTGCTCTGAGATCAGAGTGAAGAGAGGGGGGGAAGGCAGTTCCATCTTGCCTCCAGTATCATCAGTTGGAGACCCCCCCCCCCAGCACCAAACGCTGCTCTGAGATCAGAGTGAAGAGAGAGGCCATGAAGGCAGTTCCATCTTGCCTCCGGTGTCATCAGTTGGGAGACACCCCCCCCCCCAACACCAACCGCTGCTCTGAGATCAGAGTGAAGAGAGGGGCCGGAAGGCAGTTCCATCTTGCCTCCAGTATCATCAGTTGGAGACCCCCCCCCCAGCACCAACCATGCTCTGAGATCAGAGTGAAGAGAGAGGCCAGAGGCAGTTCCATCTTGCCTCCTGTCATCAGTTGGGAGACCCCCCCCCCAGCACCAACTGCTGCTCTGAGATCAGAGTGAGGAGGGGAGGCAGTTCCATCTTGTCTCCTACATATGTCATCAGTTGGGGAACCTTCCCCCCAGCACCAACTGCCGCTCTAGGCCAGAGTGAAGAGAGAGGAGGCCCGGGGAGAGTTCCACCTTGTCTCCTGTACTATGCTAATAATATAATATAATATAATATAATATAATATAATATAATATATAATATATTGTATATACATATAATACTTATAATATTATAATGCAATGCAATATAATACTACTAATAATAATATATTATAATTATACTTTTATATTACATGCAAAAGGCTGATGAAAGACAAAAGGGGAAAGAGCCATGTTATTTATTTATTTATTTCAAAGTTTTATATACCGAGCTTCTCACCTCATAAGAGGGACTCAGCCGGTTTCCAACCATAAAAACACATACAATCGGTAAAATATCAAAATACACATTACAATAAAACATTAAAAAAGCACATATATTTAAAACTACAGTGGTCAGTCGTCATACTAAAATCGAATATACACAGTCTTCCATCCAGATCATTGTCTCATTCTTCGAAAGCCTGTCTCCATAACCACGACTTCACCTGTTTCCTGAATGTCAGGATTGTTGGGGCGGTTCTAACCTCTGGCGGGAGAGAGTTCCAGAGTCGCGGGGCCACTACCGAGAAGGCCCTCGGTAATATATAATATATAATGTAATATATAATATTAATATTGTGCTATGATAATAATATAATATATTGTATTTACTTTTTACTTGCTAGCCGCTTTGAGTCCCCTTCGGGGTGAGAAGGGCAGCATATAAATGCCGTAAGTAAATAAATAAATAAATAAATAACATTTATTACAAAAATATAAAGGGAAAATAGAGAAAGAGACAGATTGGACACCGATAACAGAATATTTGAAGTAAAAATAAAAGATAAGATAAATATAAGAATAGAAATCTCCCACATACCAATAGGCGAATATAGAGAAGAAAGGGGGAAAGAAGTTGAGAAGAACCAGAAAGACTAGAAAAGGAAGAATCCCTCCTTGAAGCAGCTCGGAAGTGGGACCGAAGTCATCATCATTCCTCCTTTCTCCTTTTCTCTCCATCTTTCTCTTCCTCCATTACTTTCTAGATTTTCTCTTATATATATTTCCTCTTTTCTTTTTCTCTTCTTTCTCTTTCCTTTCCAGCTTTTTCTTTATCTGATTTCAAAGTCTCTTTTTAAAATAAGATATTATAAAAAATAATAATAAAGATTATATTTCAATTTTTTTTAACTGCCTTGGTCCTTTCCTTGGCTGCTACTTCCCGGCGGATGTCAGGAAGTGACCAGAAGCAACCTTTTTGGTACTAAAGTTGGAGAGTGGTCCCAAAGGTTTTTTGTGAAAGACCCCCTCCCATGGACCACTTTTTTTTTGTGAACCACCTGTGGTTCACAGACCACTGGTTGGGTATTTATTTATTTATTTACTATACTACTAATAATCATCATCATCATCTTTATTTATAACCCGCCTCCATCTCCCCAAAGGGGACTCGGGGCAGCTAATATGAGGCCAATCCCAAAAACAATACAGCAAAATTAGACATAAAACAACTGAAAAATTAAATCATAAAGTAACAAAATAAAATAATCAGTATAAAATAACATAATAAAAATAAGCACAAAGGGAGGGACAGATGCACAAGATAAAATGTTAAAATACTGTAAATATACAGTATTTATATTAATCAATACTGTAAATATACAGTATTTATATTCATCGATACTGTAAATATACAGTATTTATATTCATCAATACTGTAAATATACAGTATTTATTAGGCATGTGCAATCCATGGCTCTAAATGGTTCTAAAGTATTTACAAAACTAAAGTTCTGGTGGTGAAAACTAGGGGGCGCTGGTGCTTTGCTTCTACGGTGTTGCTAAAGTTCTGGTGGTGAAAATTTCAGAACTCTAACAAAACTTTCAAAATTTCGTGATTTTTTCATTATTGGCAATTTTTATGACAGAACCTATTAGGAACAGCCATTTATAATGAAATTTTGAAAGTTGTTTTAGAGTTCTGAAAGTTTCACCGCCAGAACTTTAGCAACACTGTAGAAGCAAAGCACCAGCTAGTTTTCACCACCAAAACTTTAGTTTTGTAAGTACTTTAGAACCATGGATTGCACATGCCTAGTATTAATATTCCACTCTTCTCACCCCAAAGGGGACTCAGACCGGATCACAGAACACACATATACGGCAAACATTCAATGCCGATTATAGCAATGACGAGGCAGACAACAGATAGAGGTCTAAAAAAGTGTTCCCTTGCTACTTTGTGGTTCGCATTTTGCGGACTCGCTGTTTCACTGGTTTTTGCCTCCCAGTTTATAAATGGTTGCCATTGCCCAGAGCGGCGTTCTAATCCCGCCTCATGGCAACGATGGAGTGTGGAAGGGGGTTTTACCCTCCCCCTTGGGAGAGAGGCAGCCAATCAGGAGAGATTGCAAAGCAAAGCAGAAATAGCTAGCAAAAAAAGGTGTGTGGTGCCTTTAAATCTCTCCTCACTTCTGCTTCATACTTGGAACATATATAGCATCACTACTTTGCGGATTTTCACTTTTTGCAGGTGGTCCTGGAAAGTTTCCCATCTTTCGGCGTCTTTGGGGGCTGTGCTCGGTTCCGGCCACCAGGGGTGCTGTTGCTCCATCTCCTTGCTGAAGAGCTTTCTTTGTTCATAAACTTCCTCCTTTTTCTGATCAATGTCGATCCTAAATACCGCCCCGCTTTAATGCGGTTCCTATTTATTTGTTTTCGAACTGCTAGGTAGGCAGCAGCTTAGCTAAAGATCAGGAGCTCACCCTGACCCGGGCTTCGAACAGTCAACCTTGTGGTTGGTAGGATTTATTGCAGCTTAGTGATTAGCCTGCTGTGCTTAAGCCCGGGACCATAGGTTTACACAATAGCCCACAAACGCTGTTAATGCTGGAGAAGGGGGAAAGTAGGCCTTCTTCTCAGAGATGGAGAAGCAAGAAAGTAGGCCTTCTTCTCAGAGGCGAAGAAGGGAGAAGGGAGAAAGTTTGCTTGAATGCAGTGATAAATGGAATAAATGAAATAAGCTTATGTCCTTCTTCTCCCCGCAGAGATCCGTGAGGCCTTCAAGGTCTTCGACCGGGACGGTAACGGCTTCATCTCCAAGCAGGAGTTAGGCACGGCCATGCGCTCCCTGGGCTACATGCCCAATGAGGTGGAGCTGGAGGTTATCATCCAAAGGCTGGACATGGACGGTAAGGCTTTCACTAGTAATTTGTTTGTATATAATTCTGTTTGCTTACTGTATTGTATATGTGTGTTTCGGTATGTTTCTTGAGGTTGTGGGAGAGGCTGCAAATCACATGATCAAATCTGGGACTGCTCAGAGCTCAGACTCCCTTTGAGAACACAGAAATGCTTTAGCCATGAAATGCTTTAGACTTCAGGTTTCATTAGATCACAGAACACAGAGACACCATGTAGACTGGATTAATGGATAGATAGATAGATAGATAGATAGATAGATAGATAGATAGATAGATAGATAGATAGATAGATAGATAGATAGATTTATGGATAGGTGGATGGATGGATGGATGGATGGATAGAAAGATAGATAGATAGATAGATAGATAGATAGATAGATAGATAGATAGATAGATAGATAGATGAATTGATGGATAGATTGATGAATTCATGGATAGATTGATTGATGAATTCATGGATAGATGGATAGATAGATAAATGGATTGATGGATAGATAGATATATGAATGAATAGATAGATGAACTGATGGATGGATAGATTCATAGATGGATAGATAGAGGGGTGAATTGATGAATAGATAGATTGATGAATGGTTGGATAGATGGATGGATGGATGGATGGATGGATGGATTAATGCATGCATGTGCTGATTCAGACTCCATGAGACGCCATGAGACTTTGGACTGTTAAGAGCAAACTCATGTTGTGGTTGATTATAAGAAAGACGCCCTGTGTTATCTGCACAGATAAACTCCTTCTGTAACTGGATTGACAAATCATGTCCCTGTATGCTGACTACATGAAGGTTATGATTCAATCAGATAGGTTACTTTTAACGAAGTCTACTTTATTTTTGTCTCTTGAAAGCATGATATAGAAACAAGATATTTTATGGGAGAGTAGATTTTTTGAGTACTGGGGAAAAAAACACTTCTGAATAACTGCTATATTTTGTGCATTGGCCATTATTCTCTGCCAGGGGACGGACAAGTGGACTTTGAGGAGTTCGTGACGCTCCTGGGACCCAAGCTCTCTGCCTCCGGGATTCCTGAGAAGTTCCATGGGACGGACTTCGACACTGTCTTCTGGAAGGTGAGGTCACCTTCATCCCCTCTTCTGCCTTCCTCTCCTTCTCCTCTCTTTTCTTCTCCTCTGTCTCTCCCTTTCCCTTCTTCATCCATCTTTTTCCTCCTCCTCTTTTTCTCCTGTTTGTTGTCATCTTCTTCCTTCCTCCTCCTTCTCCTAGAGTTAGAAAGAACCCCAAGGGCCATCCAGTCCAACCACCATATCTGTGGATTTTGTGTGAATTTATATCTATATCCATATATCACAGAATCCAAGTCCAACCCCATTCTGCCAGGAAAAGACCATCTAAACCTTCCCAACAGATGGCCATCCAGCCTCAGCTTCAAAACCTCCAGACAAGGAAGGAGACTCCATCAGGGTCTCCTTCTAGTTTTGACTCATAGAGTCCCTGCACGTGGAGTTGCTTTCAAGCTTTGTATCATCTGTGCAACCGTTTAGGTAAGAGTCAATTAAATCCTGGATTATTCTTGATCACTCGTGCCTGGACTCCATACTTGAAAATGAACCAGAATATTTTACCCTTCATCCTCTTCTCCTTCCTCCCATTCTCCTTTTTGTCCTCCTATTTGTTCTCCTCTTTCTCCTTGGTATCCCCCTCCTGTTCTTCTTTCTCTTCCTCCTCTTCCTTCCTCCTATTTCTTCTTTTTCCTCCTTCTCTTCTCCTCCTCCTCTTCCTCAATTTCTTCCCCCTTATTCTTCTTTTTTCACCTCTTCCTCCTCCCTATTCTTCCTCCTCCTCCTCTTTGTTCTCCTCTTCCTCTCCCTCTCCCCTCCCTCTTCCTTCCTTTCCCTTTCTACTTTCTCTTTTCTCTTTGGCACCCTCCTTCACGTCCTCTTCCTGTCTTTCTCCCTATTCCTCCTCCCTTCTTTCTCTCCCTTTGCCTCCTTTTCTTCTTTTTTCTTCTTCCTTTCCTCCTCCCTTTCTCACTTCTCCACTTGTTTTCATTTCTCATCTTCCTTGTTGTCCTCCTCTTCCTCCTTCTCCTCTTCCTCTTCCACGTCCTTCTCCCCTGCTTCCTCTTCGTCTTCTCCTCTTCGTCTTCTCCTCTTCGTCTTCTCCTTCTCTTCTTTATCTTCCTCTCCCTCCTCCTCCTCCTCACCTTCTTTCTCCTCCTACTCCTATTTCTTCTCCTCTCCTCCTTTCTCCTTGGCATCCTCCTCCCCTTCTTCCTTTCCCTCTTTTTCCTCCTCCTTCTTTTTCTTTCCTTTCCTCCTCCCTTTCTTACTCCTCCTGTTGTCTCCTCTTTTCATCTTCCTTGCTGTCCTCCTCCTCCTCTTCTTCCTTTTCCTTCCTTCCTCCTCCTCCTTGCCTTCCTCCCCTTCTTTCTTTTCCCCTCCCCTTCTTCCTCTTCTCATTCTCTTCCTCTCCTTCTTCCTCCTTTTCTTCCTCCCCTTCTTCCTCTCCCTCCTTCTCATCTTTTCTCATTCTTTTCCTTCTCCTTATCTCATTCCTCCTGTTGTTTATCTTTCTTGTCTTTCTTGTTGTCCTCTTCCTCCTCCTACCCTTTTTCCTCTCCCAATTTCTCACCTTCTTCATCCTTTATTTCTTCTCTTCTTCCTCTTCCTCTCCTCCTTGGCCTTCTCCTTCTTGTCCTCCTCTTCACCTTCCTCCACCTATTTCTAACCTTCTTCCTCTTTGTCTTCTCCTTCTCCTCTTCCTCCCCTCCTTCTACCTCTCCCTCTTCCTCACTTTCTTCATCTCCCTCTTCTTCACTTTCTTCCTCTTCCTCTCCTCCTTTCTCCTTGGCATCCTCCTTCTTCTTGACCTCCTCCTCCTCCTCCTTTTCCTTCCTCTGTTTCTCCTCTTCTTTATCCTCTCCTCCTTCTTGTCCTCCTCCTCCTCACCCTCTTCCTCGCCTTTTTCCTCCTCGTCAGTGTGACATGCAAAAGCTGACAGTGGACGAGCTGAAACGCCTGCTCTACGACACCTTCTGCGAGCACCTCTCCATGAAGGACATCGAGAACATCATCATGACAGAGGAGGAGAGCCACATGGGCAACGCGGAGGAGTGCCCCGTCGACGTTGAAAGTAAGAAAGAGCCTTTGACAGGGGAAGGATGCTGGGACTTCTTGCCCGAACACTTACCCATCCGCATCCTGGAGAGCCATTTTGAGAAGGACCACAGAGGAAAACTCAAATATTTGGGTGTGGACTCTAATCTAGTTAACTAACTGCAAAAGTTTTCTCTGCTCAAACTGAGTAGCTTTTAAATCTTTATTTCCATTTCAGCTATTTACAATTGAACTTACTCATATCAGTGTTTCTCAACCTATGGTTTCAAAGGGGTCACCAAAGACCTTCAGAAAACCTATATTTTTCATGGTCTTAGGAACCCCTTTGGCAGAGAAGGCTGAAGATCTCTCTACCTGTCCTTCTCTTCCTTCTCTCACCCAGCCCCTCAGCCAAGGGGAGGCCTGTTTCTGAGACTCCACGCGGGGAGGGGAGAGCAGGTGTTCTCGGCGCATGGCAGCATGTGGAGGCAAGGGAGAGTACGCAAGGCTGGAGGGAGGTTTGCCCTAGCGAGTCCATTCAAGGCATGGGGATTCTGTGTGGGAAGTTTGGCCCAAGTCTATTGTTGGCGGCATTCAGAATGCTCTTTGATTGTAAGTGAACTAATTTGAAGTAGTTTCTTTGTGCAGATAATACATAACCATAATCCACAGTCCATAATCTTAAGCATCTCTCTGGTCTGAGAGTCTAACAGAGTCTCTGTCCAGTCTGAAAGTCCAATGGAGCCTCTACACTCGAAAATAGAGTCTGAGTCCTGAATAGTCCCAGTTCTGATCACGTGCTCTGCAGCCCCTCCCTAAGGAAAAACTGCAAACCAATGCACACATATACAGTAGAGTAAGCAATCTGAATTATATACGAACAAATAGCTAGTATAGGAGGTTTGAAGAAGGTTGCTATTTCCAACAAAAAGGAGCCCTGAACTCCCAAGGACTGGGAGTCACTTCCAGTGGCCGTTTTGAGGAGGGCGGTAGAGGGCAACGGAGGCTTTTTCCTCTGGTTAAGGATGCCGCCCATTCCCTGTCTCCACAATGGCAGCTTGTTTGTTTGTTCCAGCATTTTCAATTCTCCTCTTTTGTTTTATTACGGAAGAACCCGTTCTGTTCTGGCTGCCGAGTGCTTTGAATATCAATGCCAGCGAAGGCCATGATTGCATTCCAACTCCACAAGCTTTTGGCAGTCACCAAGGATTATATATATATATATATATATATATATATATATATATATATATATATATAAATGTGATGTTTGTTTGTGGGATTAACAGAACTCAAAAACCACTGGGGGAATTGACACCAAATTTCGACACAACACCTAAAAACCCAATGTATGTCCTTCACTTAAAAAAATGATTTTGTCATTTGGGAGTTGTAGTTGCTGGGATTTATAGTACACCTACAATCAAACAGCCTTCTGAACTCCACCAATGATGGAATTGAACCAAACTTGGCACACACAACTCCCATGACTAACAGAAAATACTGGAAGGGTTTGGTGGGCATTGACCTTGAGTTTGGAATTGTAGTTCACCTACATCCAGAGGGCACTTTGGACTCAAACAATGATGGATCTGGACCAAACTTGGCACAAGCACTCAATGTGCCCAAATGTGAATACTGGTGGAGTTTGGGGAAAATAGACCCTGACATTTGGGAGTTGAAGTTTCTGGGATTTATAGTTCACCTACAATCAAAGAGCATGCTGAACCCCACCAATGACAGAATTGGGGCAAACTTCCCACACAGAACTACCATACTTAAGGCCATCCAGTCCAGCTCCCTTCACCAGGGCAAGAAAACATAATCAAAGCCCTCCTGACGAAGAGCCATCCAGCCATAGATATAGATAGATATGATTCACACACAGAGATATAGTGTCATAGATTGGGAAGCAGGACAATTATATGTCGCATGTTCCAGATTAGGCAAACCAGACAATCTCCACATCAACACTGACATAGGAACAACAAGGAATACTGTTTGCCCACAAGCATAAAGGAATTACATATATTAGAAACCATTACTTTATTTTCCAGGTCACCAGACTGGGCCACAGCAACGCGTGGCAGGGGACGGCTAGTCTATATAAATAAAAATGTAATGTTTGTTTGTGGGATTAACAGAACTCAAAAACCACTGGGCGAATTAACACCAAATTTGGACACAAGGCACCTAACAACCCAATGTATGTCCTTCACTCAAAAAAATTGATTTTGTCATATGGGAGTTGTAGTTGCTGGGATGTATAGTTCACCTACAATCAAAGAGCATTCTGAACCCCACCAACGATGGAATTGAACCAACCTTGGCACACAGTTCTCCCATGACCAACAGAAAATACTGGAAGGGTTAGGTGGGCAGTGTCCTTTGGTTTTGGAGTTGTAGTTCACCTACATCCAGAGAACACTGTGGACTCAAACAATGATTGATCTGGACCAAACTCTATATGAAGACTCAATATGCCCAAATGTGAACACTGCTGGAGTTTGGGGAAAATAGAATCTTGACATTCGGGAGTTGTAGTTGCTGGGATTTGTAGTTCACCTACAATCACAGAGCATTTTGAACCCCACCAACAATAGAATTGGGTCAAACCTCCCACATAGAACCCCCATGACCACCAGAGTAGGCCACAGCAACGCATGGCAGGGGATGGCTAGTATATATATAAAAAACACACGCACACCCTAGCTTGGCATTGCTCGGGTTATTTGAAAAAGTCATTTTTTAAATTGTACGAAATACATAAGGTTGTGAATTAACGACAACTCACATCATGCCAGGTTAACCCCGAGATGTTCCATCAGTCCTTAAAGTTTGTTATGTTGGGCAAGTTTGCTCTAGATCAGATATGGGCAAACCCAGGCCCAGAGGCAGATGCGACTCCTTGGGCTCTTTTCTCAGACCCTCCTCTCTCTTACCAAAGATTAGGAAGAACTTCCTGAGAGTAAGAGATGTCGCAGAGTGACGTAGGCTGCCTGGGAGTGTAGTGGAGTCTCCTTCTCTGGAGGCTTTTCCGCAGAGGCTGTCTATTGGGAGTTCTTTGGTTGTGCCTTCCTGCATGGCAGGGGGTTGGACTAGATGGCCCTTGGGGGTCTCTTCCAGCCCTAGGATTCTATATCAGGAGAAGACAATAGAAGGTCTAAGGGATACAACTGTTCTCTCCCGTCCAACATCTCAACTTGACCAAGGCCAAACCTTTTGGAATCCAAACCTTTCCCATCTTTTCTTCACTTCCTGGCTCCGAAAAGAAAAGGGCAGGGAGGGGGCTTGGGGAGAGCCCCTCCCTCCTGGCCCACCCACCTTACTCCGGCCCGCCATGAAAGTTTGCCCATGCCTGCTCTAGATGCACCCTCAGTGGGGTGCAGGGTGAACTACAACTCCCACTATGGTGGGTCAAACCCCTCCAGTAGGTTGAGTTAGTCATAGGGGTTCTGGTCCACCATCACTGGATGTCACAGTTTCCCTGGTTATGGGTGAACTACAACTCCCAGAAAAGAAGGTCAGTTTCCCCCATACCCCTCCAGTATTCAAATTTTGGCATACCAGGCATGTGTGCCAAGTTTGGTCCAAATCCAACGGTGTTTGGGTTCGCATTGCTCTCTGGATGTAGTTGAACTACAAGTCTCCCAAATCCAGGTGAATTTCCCACAAAGGCCTCCAGTATTTTTTGCTGGTCATGGGGTCTCTGTGTGCCAAGTTTGGTCCAATTCTCTTTTTGGTGAAGTTCAGAGTGCTCATTGAATTCAGGTGAACTATAAATTCCAGTACCTATAACTCCCCTCAACCCCCACCAGTATTCAAATTTGGGCATATTGGGTATGCATGCCAAGTTAGTCCAGATCCATCATTGTTTGGGTTCATAGTCCGCTCTGGATACAGATGAACTACAACTCTTATAAATCTCTCCAAAGACCACCGGGTTGTTTTTTTTTTGTTGGTCAGGGGGGTTCTGTGTGCCAAATTAGTTCCAGGTCTATTGTTGGTGGAGTTCAGAGTGCAGTTCTTAGATTGCAGGTGAACTATACATCCCAGTACCTACAAATCCTATAAATCATGGCGAATTCTCCCCAAACCTCTCTAGTATGTTCAGTTGCCGATCAATTCCTCTGTTTGCTGTGCACCAAGAAAAGAATAGGAAAGGGTTATGGGAGTGGCAAATTCCACACCAATGGAGAGAGTAAGGAACACTGGGATGCCTGTGGTGGAGGAAACTTCTAAAATCTAGGATGAAATTGTCCTTATATGGAAGCCTTCGCTTGGGTGCTGGGCAGTATGGTGTTTGTGGAGGACATTGGCAGGGCTTGTGGACATGTTTACAGCGCTTGTTATAACCTGCAATGTCATTGGAGGGAGGGCCTTTGGTGTCTCCTGAGTGGCAGGAGCTTGTCTGTGTAAGTGGGCAGCCCAGCCATACACACACACATACATATTTTCAGTTTTGTTATGTATGTAGAAGATATACACACACATACACTCATACATACATATGCTCAGAAACTCTGTCCTGTCTAAACTCTATTTGCTTTAATAGTGAGAGGGACGTTATGCTCAGAAACTCTGTCTAAACCCCATTCACTCCAATAGCAAGAGGGATGTTATACTCAGAAAATCTCCCCTTTCTCCCGTCTTTCTCCAGCCTGTTCGAACCAACAGATCCGGCAGACCTGCGTCCGGAAAAGCCTCATCTGCGCCTTCGCCATCGCATTCATCATCAGCGTTATGCTTATCGCCGCAAACCAGGTGTTGCGGAGCGGGATGAAGTAGCCAGGCGGGATGGCGCCGGTGGCTGGGGTTCCTTCCTTGCGATCGGACAGCTATTTGTACCCATCAACACCCAAAAGGGCCGGACCGAGGTGGGGGGAACCATGGAGCTTGGCCGCTGTTTTCTCGCAGACTCTCGGAGGGGCTCTTCTTCCTCCTCCTCGCTATCTCGGCTTCTTGGCAGATAGCATGGCCTCCTTGGGGCGGATCCGGGCCGCCCGCATGGTGGAAGTGTTACCCTTTCGACGCATGTCCAAAGTGCATGGAGACTCTCCTTCCCTCCCTCCCCTACCGCCCTGCACCCAACTCGGAGTGATGCAATACTGTGCGCTTTTATAACCAGATATTTAGAGGTATACATAAGATATTATATATATAATACATAGAGATATATATAGATATATACATAGATATATTTATGATAAGTTGAATAATCCGTTAAGCAATACACACACACCTATCAGGATTTTCTATCCAAGATTCGGACATTGCATGACCATTCACACAAGGGCTGCTGGATGTATGTACCAACCTCCGGCGCCCCAACCCTCCAAGCAGGTTCACTCCCACATCTATGCACTTTTTCCTCCTCTTCTCCCGTAATCCGGGCCTGCTTGGTGTGGATCTGGGCCGTTTGGACGGAAGGCACCAGCAAATATTGGGATGGTGCAAGAGAAATTCTCATTGTTATGGTTTGTGTCGCGGTCGCATGCGGAAGTCCAACCCGGGGTGGATTGTTCTGGGCTGAAAGGTTCCAGGGTTCGAACTTGTTCGGAGTTGTTCAGGTGGAAGGCACCAGTAAATGGTGGAATGACCCATTGTGGTCTTGACAGCATGCCGCCATGTCTCTTTTGTATTTGGAAGTCCTATCTGGGCTGAAACGTTCGAGTCTACTTCGTGCAGATTTGGCGGTCGTTCAGGCGGAAGGCACCACCCAAATGTTTGACAGCTATGGAGGGAAAACAATGCCGTTGTGATCCAGACATCACACCGCCATGTCACTGTTGCATGCGGAAGACCTATCTTGCTCCTGAGCCACCTTTGTGCAGATCAAGGGTCGTTCGGAAAATCCAAAACCACATTGTTGCGCTCCGGACAGCACACTGTTACATCGCTGCTGCATGTTGAAATCCTGTCAGGGATGGAGAAAAAGTTTTCCCAGGATGACTCTGGGCTAAAACATTCTGGGATCGTTCAGAAGATCCGAAATCACGTTATTGCGCCGTTATGTCACTGTCGCATGTGGAAGTCCTTTCTGGGATGGTTCTGGGCTGAAATGTTCCAAAGTTCAAATTTGAGCCTTTTTTGTGCTTTTAAGATCATTTGGAAAAGTCAAAATCATGTTATTGCGCTCCGGACAACACGCCGTTACTTTCCCATTGCATGATCAAATCCTGTTCAGGATGGAAAAATGTTGTGCTGGGATGATTCAGGGCTGAAATGTTTCAAGGTTCAAACCTGGGAGGCCATCTTCTCCTCCATTTTGGTCTCCTCCTCCATCCATTCCTTCTTCCTCCATCAGAGCTCCTCTATGGGGACTTCTTCTCCACCTGGGAGGCCATCTTTTCCATCTTGGTCTCCTCTTCCATCCATTCTGCCACCTTCTTCCTCCCTCAGAGCTCCTCTATGGGAACATCTTCTCTGCCAGTAAGGCCATCTTCTCCCCCATCTTGGTCTCTTCCGCCATCCATTCCTTCTCCTCCTTCTCCATCCATTCCTCCTTCTCCTTCCTCAGAACTCCTCTATGGGGACTTTTTGCCTGGGAGGCCATCTTCTCCTCCATTTTGGTGTCCTCCATCCAATCCTCCTTCTCCTTCCATTCCTTCTTCTTCCTTCCTTCTTCTATGGGGACATCTTCTCTGCCTGGGAGGCCATCTTCTCCTCCACCTTGGTCTCCTCTTCCATCCAGTCCTTCTCCTTCTCCATCCATTCCTTCTTCTTCTTTCTCCCTCAGAGCTCCGCTAAGGGGATGTCTTCTCCTTCTGGGAGACCATCTCCTCTTCCTCCTCCTTTCATTCCTCCTTCTCCTTCATCCATTCCTCCACCTGTATTCCTTCTCCATCTTCTCATCCATTCATTCCTCCACCTCCATGCCTTCTTCTTCTTCCTCCCTCAGAGGTTCAAACCTGAGCCTTCTTTGTGCAGATCGAGGGTTGCTTGAGAAATCCGAAACCACATTATTGTGCTCCGGACAACACACTGTTATGCCGTCGCCACATGTTGACCTATCAGGGATGGAGAAACGTTTTCCCGGGAGAATTCCAGGCTGAAATATTCCAGATTTCGGACAGATCTGGATTCATCCAGAAGATCCAGAGTCACGTTATTGTGGTCCAGATGGTGCGCAGTTACCTCACCGTCACATGTGGAAGTCCTATCCAGGTTGAAGAACATTCCCTGGATCAATTATGTTCCAGAGTTAAAACTCGAGATTGTTCTTTATGGACCTTCAGTCATTTGAAGCTGTCTGAAATCACATTATTGCGGTCACCACGTCATAGGTGGTGTCGAAATATTTCGATGGACCATCTCTCACAGTATCACCATGACGTGTATGTATATACAAGGCTGGGGAGGCCCTTCGTCTTGATGAGCAATTCCCCTTTCTATGGAGCGCAACATCGGCAGATCGGGGCCTCGTTTAAGCTTGGAATGTTGACAAGAAATTGAGGGTTTTGACCCATCTCAATGGTGTTTCCCCCATATTGAAGATGGCTGACCGACCGAAGAACGAAAATCAGAATTGTGCCTTATTTCTAATTTGACTCACAACGGCGTCCGTCAGTTCTTGTTAATGCTGGGGCTTGGTTGGAGAGACTGTTGCTAAGCCTGCTAAGCTTCATTTCTGTGAATGTATTATTGATTTTTTGTGCCATTCGTCAGAAAGAGAAAACGATATCGACCACGTTCCTTGAGTGTCGAAAACCGAAGTAAAACAAAGTGCAAGCGGATACAATGATCCCGTCACTTAATATATTCAAACGTTTTCTGGTTTAGTCGTGTCTCACCAGAAATTGAACTTGTCGATGTAATATTTTCACCAAAATTGGATTCAGACCCAAAATTCTCACAGGGTTGTTTTCTATAGGAAACAGCATTATTGTGTGCAGGAAAAATACGACATTCTATGCAGAAAAAATATATATTCTGCAAAGAAAATTGCGTGAAATCAATATAATTTCCTGTGCGGGGAAATTTTATTCTGGTTTTATTTCAAACTTTAAGGTACCGGAAGTAGAAGCAACTCCTTAAAGAGTTCTACTGAAGTCTGGAATTAAATCCAGAATTAGAGCTCGAGTTAGAAAAAGAATCAAAGAGATAGAGATGTACCATGATTTACAGTCAGAGTTAGATGAGAGTGCGAGTAAGTTAGAACGCTACAGTTAGAGTTAGAATTGGTTAGAGTAAGTTAGAGAGTTATAGTGAATGACAGAGAGTCAGTTAAAGGTTTAGTGTTAGAGCAGTGGTTCTCAACCTGGGGTCCCAGATGTTTTTGGCCTTCAGCTCCCAGAAATCCTAAGAGCTGGTAAACTGGCTGGGATTTCTGCGAGTTGTAGGCCAAAACACCAGGGGACCCACAAGCTGAGAACCACTGTGTTAGAGTGGTCATGAAAGTTAGATGAAGAATTAGAGTTAGAGAGAGTGAGTGAATGGTTGGACAGGGTTAGAACTAAAGTTAGTGAAAGAGTTAGGGTTTGATGGAGAATCAGTGTTAGAGTTACCTGGCATAAGTTAAAGAGTTAAGGTTGAACTTAGAGTTGGTTAGAGTTAGAATGACATAGCTCAGGCTAGTGTTAGTTGGGATTTAGAGACAGACATAGAATTAGGTAGAGTTAGAATGAATTGGAGTGAATGAATTGGACAGAGACAGTTAGAGTTAAGAGAATTTGGGTTTGATGTAGAATACAATTAGAGCATTAGACTGAGTTAAGTTTAGGGTTAGAATTATAGTTATTTAGAGTGAATGAGAGAGTTAGGATTAGAGTTAGTTAGAATTAGGGCTAGATGTAGAATTAAGGAGTTAGTTAGAATTAGGTTAATTTAAAATTAGAGTTCGAGAGACTGAGTTAAAGTGGGTTTGTGAACTAGATGCAATAATAGTTGGGGAATTAGACTGAGTTTGAGTGAGTTGGACAGGGTTAGAGTAACAGTTAATTTGGAGAGGATTTAGAGAGAGTGTTGGAAATAGTGAAGGTAAGAATAAGAGTTGGTGAGTTAGATTGAGTTAGAGTGGGGGAGTTGGAATGAGAATGAGTTAGAGTGAGAGGGAGTTAGATTGAGTTACAGTGTTTGAGTTAGAGGGTGAGACTGAGCTAGAGTGAGAGTGACTAAAAGTGAGCTAGAATTAGATTGAGTTGCAGTGGTTCTCAACCTGTGGGTTCCCAGGTGTTTTGGCCTACAACTCCCAGAAATCCCAGCCAGTTTACCAGCTGTTAAGATTTCTGGGAGCTGAAGGCCAAAACATCTGGGGATCCACAGGTTGAGAACTACTGAGCTAGAGTTAGATTGGGTTAGAATGAGAGGGAGTTAGATTGAGTTAGAGAGTGAGAGTGAGATTGAGCTAGAGTGAGAGTGAGTGAAGGCCTGGCCTTCCTCCTCCGCAAGGGCTGGTCCCCTTCCCTCCCTCTGTCCAATGTCTCGGCCTCAGTGGATCTTGGGAGTTGTAGTCCGAAAGGCCAAACCCCGAGATGTTTACATGGTGCCCTGTATGTTCCCAAGGAGCGTTTGGAGAGGAATGCCTTGTTTTGTTTTGCCTCTCAACCGAGCAATATTCGCCGCCATTTCTAATAAAAGGAATCCATCATAACTGCTTGTTTCTAAGCACACTGCTGCTCTGTTTATTGCTTTGTTTATGGGAACATTAATTCATTGTGTCTGGTTCTGATTAACCAATTGATTGATCAATCAATTATTCAATCCATCAATTAATTGACGGTGTAATGCCAACACTAGCCATTTTAATGCTTTGTCTATCTAATTAAGTTAATATCCATTAATTTGTCTCACCTGGTTCTGATTAACCTATTGATCAATCAATTAATCAATCAATCGATTGATCAATCATTTGATCAATTAATCAATTGGTGGTTTAATACTGACACGAGCCGTTTTCATGCTTGGCCTTTTTAATTAATATCCATTAATTCGACCCGTCTGGCTCTGATTGACCAATTGATCAATCAATCAATTGATTGATGGTTCAATGCCCACAATACATTGCCTTTTGAATTAATATCCATTAACTCTTCGCGATTTGGAGGAATGTTTATCACCTGCCATTCAAACGCATGGATCCAAGAGAAAAACCGATCAATTGATCAGAAGTAAAAATAAATAAACAACGTCCTGTGGATCAATAGCAAAAAGAGAGACAAATAGATAAATATGTTGTAGGTCAACCCCAATGGAGATCCCGGGGGACCGCCCAGCCACCAAGAGGGGGCGCCCTCAGTGAAGGGGGGAGGCTGTGTTCGGGGGGCCACCCCAGGGGCTGCTGGAAAGCCACTTCTTCCTCTGGGAGGGAACTGTGTGGAGGAAGAGAAAAAGAGCATTAGGAAGGCTCCCATTGCCGAGGAATCGTACGCAGGCCGTATCTGGCTCACGGACTCAAAATCCCCATATCTTTCATCCCAACAGGGCTCAAAAAATGCACATTTGTGGATTGGATCCTACCAACAAGGATATGTTTGCCATATAAAACATATGGCTCATATATAGCGTATGGGCCATATGTGACCCGCAGACTCAAAATCCCCATATTTTTCATCCCAATAGGATTGGAAAATGTACATTAGCAGATTACATCCCAGCAACACAGCTATATAAAACAGATACCTCACATATAGCATATAGGCCTATGTGGGCCACGAACACAAAATTCTCGTATTTGGAATACCAACAGGGTTGGAGAATGTACATTTATGGGTCACATCCCACCAACACAGCTATATTTGCCATGTGGGACATATACAACGTATATCATACGGGCCTTATAGGCCTGCATACTAAAATTCCCATGTTTTCAATACCAAGAGGATTGGAAAATGTACATTTGTGGATCAGATCCCACCAACACGACCACATTTCCTACATAGGACATAGAAAACATATGGCTCACATATGGCATACGGGCCGCATGTGGCCTGCAGACTCAAAATTCCGTTGTTTTCTCCTTTGTGGGTCACATGCAGCAAATATAGCCATATATGTAGCCATGTTATATGCTATGGGCCATATATATGCTATGGGCCATATGTGGCCCACTGACTCAAAATCATCTTTTTTTGATCCCAATAGGGCTGGGGAATGCACATTTGTGGGTCACATCCTGCCAACACAGACATATTTGCCACATGGGACATGTAAAACATATAGCTCACATAAAGCATATTAGCCACATACAGCCCGTGGAATTCCCTTTTGTTTTCTTGTCCCAATGGAATATCAAAAATGTATTTTTGTGGGTCACGTCCAACAGATATAGCCATATATACAGCCCTGTTAGGCATGCGGGCCATATATATGGTATGGGCTATATGTGGCTCATAGACTCAAAATTCCCTCTTTTGAACCCCAACCAGGTTAGAAAACGCACATTTCCAGGTCACACCCTCACCAACATGGCTATATTTGCCATGTGAGACGTATAAAACGTATTGCTCAGATATAGTATACGGGCCACATACAGCCCATAGAATTCCATTTTGTTTTCTCCTCCCAATGGAATATCGAAAATGTATCTTTGTGGGTCAAGTCGAGCAAATATAGCCATAGTCCTGTTATGTCCATGGGCTATATACATGCTACGGGCCGTATGTGGCCCATGGGCCCAGATCCCATTCCCAGGGATTGGGAAGTATGGCCTATATCCCTGAAGCTCGTTGCGCCCTCCAAAATGGCAATTCTGTACCTCTTGGTCTCAGTGGCCCGTAGCCGCTTGACCCGCTTTTCCAGCCAGTCCTCGATGTTGCCTGGTGGCCTGGCTGTCTCAGTGTCGCTCTGGCGGTCTGCAGCTCGCTTTTCTTCTGCTGAAGAGAAGAAGGAGGAAACCAGATCCAGAGAGGAAGAAGAAAAAGAAGGGCCTCTTTCCTTCCCCTTTAGAAAAAACAATATTTAGAAAAGTATTTGCGAAAAATATTTTTAAAATATCAAGAAAAATATTTGTAAAAATATTCACAAAAATGATTGCAAAAATATTCATTAAAATATTCATTAAATATATTTAGAAAAATATTCACGAAAAATAATTGTTAAATATCTTAAAAATATATTTAGAAAAATATTCACAGAAAATATTTGGAAAAATATTCAGAGAAATGTTCACAAAAATATTTTGAAAATATCAAGAAAAATATTTGAAAAAATCCACAAAAATGATTGTAAAAATATTCACAAAAATCTTCATAAAAATATATTTAGAAAAATCTTCACGGAAAATGTTTGTAAAAATACTCAAATAATATTTCTAAAGATATTCACAAAAATATTAGTAAAATATCAAGAAAAATAATCAGAAAAACACTCATAAAATATATTTAGAAAAAATATTCAAGGAAGACATACCAGCAGCACATACTGAAATACTAGCAGCACATACTCTTAAAGGGAGATGCACTGCAGGTATAAATGCAAGAAAAATAATCAGAATTTTTTTTTGTAAAAATACTCATAAAATATATTTAGAAAAAATATTCAAGGAAGACATTGGTAAAAATATTCGTGAAAAATATTCATTAAAATATATTTAGAAAAGAAGAAAGGACTCTGAGAAGAAGGCCTGCTCTCGCACCAAGGCCTGGTTTCCCATGCACGTATGTACAGAATGCTTAAAATGCTCTAATGCTATCATTACTTTTAATGAGACTTCCCAAAAGCCTTCCTGCCAATCTGAAATGCCAGCAGCACATACTCTTTAAGGGAGATGCACTGCAAGTATAAATGCTATGTAAGCGCATAGATCCACGGGGGGCTAAACACACAAGGAATCTCCTGGTCCTTTAAGGAGTGGATTTTGAGTGGTGTTTTCCTTCCCACTGCACACTTACCTCGGACATGCTCCTCCAGCGCCTGCAGATCAGCCTCCACCAGGTGGGAGAAGCGGCAATTGGAGCCAAAGTCGCACTGACCTGGAAGCAGGAACAGATCTTTTGTGAACATTTAGGAAAGTATATGTGACAAAAATATAGTCACAGAAAATATTCGCAGATAATATACACAAATATATATTTGGAGAAATATTCAGAAAAATACATTGAGAAAAATACTCATAGAAATATTCACGAAAAATATTCAGAAAAATATATTTAGAAAAATATTCATGATATTCATAAAATATTCACAAAACTATTAGTCAAATATTCAGAAAAATAATTGTAAAAGTATTCATGAAAAATGTATTTAAAAAACTATTCACAAAAACTACTCATGAAATATTCACAATATTCGTAAAAAGATTCATGTAAGTATTCACGAAAATATATTTAGAAAAATATTTACAAAATATTCATAAAATATTTACAAAAGATTAAAAATGTTCAGAAATATATATATATAGAAAAATATTCACAAAATATTCAGAAAAATATCAACAAAAACATATTCACAAAAATATTTGGAGAAATATTCAGGAAAATATTCACCAAAAATATCCATAAAATATATATTTTAAAAATATTCACAAAATATATTCATAAAATATTCATGAAAAAATATTTGTAAAAATATGCATGACCTTTGTAAACATATTCACAAAAATATTGGTAAAATATTCTTTAAAATATATTTATAAAAATTTTCATGAAAATTATTTGTAAAAATATTCACAAAAATTTATTCTGAAAAATATTCATGAAAAATATTCTGAAAAATATCAACAAAAATATTTGGAGAAATTTTTAGAAAAATATTTGTAAAAATATATTTGTTAAAATATTCATGAAAAATATTTGAATCCATACCTGTTTGGAGGAACTTCCTGCAGGGCTTCTTGTTCTGCTCCTCCTGCAGGACAGCGGCCGCATCTACGCAACATTTTAATTTACATAAATTAGCATATTGGTTTTTCCAAGGGAAGGGGAGGTTTTCTTGAATGTTTCCAGATACAGAGTCCACAGAATCACATTGGAGGACCAAACGTATTCCTAGAGAGGAGTCTCCTTTACGCTCTACAGCCACTCTATGACCTGCTGGGGTCTGTTTCATTTGAGGGGAAATGGCCCCTCTAGGAACTTCCTAGGTCCTTCAGGCAATTCCATGGTAGGCTTTCCCTGGAAGTTTTATTGTTTTTAATATATTTATTATTGTGTTCTTGAATATTTATCATCATTATTATTATAGTATTATTTTATTTACCACTATATAATCTAATATTATATCATTATTATTATCACTCTATTATTATTTATTATATAATTGTTTTATATAATTATTATATTGTTATATTATCAAATTATTATTTTATCTTATTATATTTTCATTATAAGTCTATTATATTATTATATTACTATTTCATCATATTATTATATTATCATTATTTTCACTCTATTCTTGGAGCCCCCAGTGGCGCAATGCATTAAACCCCGAAAGGTCAACGGTTCGAATCTGGGGAGCAGGGTGAGCTCCTGTCTGTCAGCTCCAGCTTCCCATGCAGGGACATGAGAGAACCCCCCTTCCCCTCCAGGATGGAAACACATCCGGTTGTCCTTGGGCAATGTCTTTGAGAAGGGCTAATTCTCTCACATCAGAAGAGACTTGCAGTTTCTCAAATTGCTCCTGACAAGGGAAAAAAAATTATTATTATTATTATTATTATTACATCAGAATTATTATTACATCATCATTATTATCCTCACTATTGTTATATTGTATTATCAGTATATTATTATATTATTTATATTATTATATAATTATAGTATCATCATCACTCAACAACATTTTATTATGGTCCAAAAACCCTTATTGCTCCGTAAGTGTACAAAATATGCAAGGTTAATAAGATTAACATCAGGTGACTGATTTAGCACACAGTTGGATGAAATCAGCAATAGTCATCACTGTCTTATGTTATTATTATATTATCACTATATTATCATCACTATATTATTATATTATTAATTTATTAAATTATTATCACTATATATTATAATATTATTATAATATTATCATATTAATTTATTATCATATTATTATAGGGAAAGGTAAACATTAAGTCTAGTCAAGTCCGACTCTGGGGAGCTGGTGCTCATCTCCATTTCTAAGGTGAAGAGCCGTCGTTGTCCATAGACGCCTCCTAGGTCATGTGGTCAGAATGACTGCATGGAGCGCAGTCCATGCCGTACCTATTGATCTACTCACATTTTCATGCATTCGAACTGCTAGGTTGGCAGAAGCTGGGCCTAACAGCGGGAGCTCACCTTGCTCCCCAGATTCAAACCGCCAACCTTGTGGTCAGCAATTTCAGCAGCTGCGCCACTGGGGGGTTCCCTTATTATTACCTTATTATTATATGGCTATATTCTTATTATATTGTCATCACTATTATTATTATATTATTATATCATACATTACTATTATCACTAAATTATCTTTATATTATTTCATTTTATTAACATCATAATCACTATTATATTATTATATAGGAAGGCGCATCAAGCCAACCCCAACCGGAACCGCCTTCCACCTGGAAACCGATGCTCACACTGTGGGAGAAGATGCAGATCAAGAATAGGGCTCCACAGTCACCTACGGACCCATCGTCACGACGCTACACTTGGAGGACCATCATCCTCGGAATATGAGGGATTGCCTAAGTAATTATATTATATTCCTGAGGAGCCCCCAGTGGCGCAGTGGGTTGAACCGCTGAGCTGCTATTGAATCCGAGGAGCGGCGTGAGCTTACACTGTCAGCCCCAGCTTCTGCCAACCTAGCAGTTCAAAAACATGCATATGTGAATAGATCAATAAGTAATGCTCCGGCGGGAAGGTAACGGCGGTCCATGCAGTCATGCTGGACACATGACCTTGGAGGTGTCTACAGACAACGCTGGCTCTTTGGCTTAGAAATTGAGATGAGCACCAACTCCCAAAGTCAGACACAACTAGACTTAATGTCAGGGGAAAACCTTTACCTATCATATTCCTATCACTTTAATATTATATTATAATATTGTTTATATTGAGGACATGGTTTTATTGTCTAATTAATGTTTTATGTACTGTTTTAACTAATGGTTTATGTATTTTAATGGCTTAATGGTTTTTTGTATTTAATGGTTATTGTATTGGTTTATATGTAATGGCATCGAATCGCTGCCAATGTAAGCCATCCTGAGTCCCCCTTCTGGAGTAGAGAAGAGACGGGGCAGAAATACCAGAAATAAAACAAATAAATTATATAATATTATCATTATATTATTGCTATATTATTATATTATTGCATATTATTATTATTACTATTATTATTGTTATTATCATCATCATCATTATATAATAAGCAGATGGCCTGGATGATCTACGGATGGAACAAATCAAGAACTTTGGCCCAAAAGCAAGGCACTGGCTGCTGGAGCTGATGAATAACTGCACTGCATCCTGTCAGATCCCCAAAATCTGGAGGAAAGCAAGAGTCATCGCCATTTTGAAACCAGGCAAAGACTGTAATGATCCAAAAAACTACAGACCAATCTCCATTTTGTGCCACCTCTACAAAGTTCTGGAGAGACTTATTTTGCATAGAATTATGGAAAAAATAGACCCATGTCTGATCCCACAGCAAGCTGGCTTCAGGAAAGGCAAAAGCTGCACATCGCAAGTGCTGAACCTGACTCAGCACATAGAAGATGGCTTTGAAAGGCAGCAGATCACAGGAGCTGTCTTCATAGACCTATCAGCAGCCTATGATACTGTGAACCACCGCCTCCTCCTGAGAAAAATGTATAATATCACAAAGGACTACCACCTCACCAGCATCATAGGAAACCTGCTACAAAACAGGAGCTTTTTTGTTGAGTTCCAGGGCCAGAGAAGCAGATGGCGGAAACAGAAGAACGGCCTGCCTCAGGGGAGCGTGCTCGCTCCATCCATGTTCAACATCTACACAAATGACCAGCCACTGCCAGAAGGGACAGAGAGCTTCATCCATGCTGATGAGTTTTGAGATGGTTGAACAGAAGCTCTCCGAAGCTCTAGGTGCTCTAACTGCCTCTTACAAGGAAAACCAGCTGATCCCTAATCCATCCAAAACACAGACATGTGCCTTTCATCTTAAGAACAGACAAGCATCCCGAGCTCTGAGGATACCTGGGAAGGAATCCCACTGGAGCATTGCAGCGCACCCAAGTACCTGGGAGTCACTCTGGACCGCTCTGACCTACAAGAAGCACTGCCTGAACATCAAGCAAAAAGTGGGTGCTAGAAACAATATCATACGAAAGCTGACTGGCACAACCTGGGGATCACAACCAGACACAGTGAAGACATCTGCCCTTGCACTGTGCTACTCTGCTGCTGAGTACGCATGCCCAGTGTGGAACACATCTCACCACACTAAAACAGTGGATGTGGCTCTTAATGAGACATGCGCATTATCACGGGGTGTCTGCGCCTACACCACTGGAAATATTACACTGTCTAGCCCAGGGGTCCTCAAACTAAGGCCCGGGGGCCGGATGCGGCCCTCCAAGGTCATTTACCCGGCCCTCACTCAGGGTCAACCTAAGTCTGAAATGACTTGAAAGCACACAACAACGACAACAATCTTATCTCATGGGCCAAAAGCAGGCCCACACTTCCCATTGAGATACTAATAAGTTTATATTTGTTAAATTGTTCTTCATTTTAATTATTGTATTGTTTTAAAGTGATTTTTGCACTACAAATAAGATATGTGGAATGCATAGGAATTCATTCATGTTTTTCTCAAATTATAATCCGGCCCTCCAACAGTTTGAGGAACTGTGACCTGGCCCTCTGTTTAAAAAGTTTGTGGACCCTTGTTCTAGAAGATATGCCGGGAAGTAGCAACCAATAGTGAAAGGACCAAGGCAGTGACGTCTCCAGCTCATCCCCTGTTTGGGTATCAGCCAGCACGTCAACGACTTAAATCAAGAAATAGTTTTCTAAGATCTACAGAGACACTGGCTGGAACACCTCAGCAAGCAAGAGTCCAAAAGTGGCAGGCCCAAACCCAGCACCTCAATCCATGGGTGATACCAGATGAGAGACTCCCCCCTGGCACACAGAAGACTGGGCGACTTGGAAGGCGCTGAACAGACTGCGCTCTGGCACCACGAGATGCAGAGCCAACCTTCAGAAATGGGGCTACAGGGTGGAATCCTCGGCATGCGAGTGCGGAGAAGAACAAACCACTGACCACCTGCTGCAATGCACCCTGAGCCCTGCCACATGCACAATGGAGGACCTTCTTGCGGCAACACCAGAGGCACTCCAAGTGGCCAGATACTGGTCAAAGGACATTTAATCAACTACCAAGTTTGCAAAATCTGTGTTTTTAAAAAGGAGAAAGGATAATATTATCATATTGTCGAAGGCTTTCATGGTCGGAATCACTAGGTTATTGTGGGTTTTTCGGATATGGCCATGTTCTAGAGGCATTTTTCCTAGTTCCAACAGACCTCACTCCCTCTGAGGATGCTTGCCATAGATGCAGGTGAAACGTCAGGAGAAATGCCTCTAGAACATGGCCCTATAGCCTGAAAAAACCCACAAGAACCTAAATGTCTGGTTGCTCCTGACGTGATAAATAAATAAATACATCACTATATAATATAAAATATAGTGGTAATATAATATATAGTGATGTTAATAATTATACGTAATAATATAATAATATAGCGATTATATTATTTTTATATTATACCTATATTATCATCACTATGATTATATTATTATCATATTATCACTATATTGTTATCACTATATTACTATCTTTGTATTATTATATTATTATTATCTTTATATTATTGTTGTGTTATTTTTATATATAACAATAAGAATATCTTCATATTATTTTATATTTTGATCAATATTATTTGTTTCTTCTTCTTCTTCGGCCTGGACGTAACCATAGAGCGGCGTGGGGAGGACCCGGAGCTCTCCATCCCTAGCGCGGCAGGAAGGGCGCCCTGCCGCTCCCTCCATCCCTCCCCCGCCTCTCTCTCTCTCTCTCTCTCTCACCCCGGAAGCGGTCATACCAGGCCTTCCTGGCCCGGATGTGTTGGACTCCGTTCAGGTGCTTCTTCCGGTTGTGGAGGTTGTCCTGGAAGGAGCGTTCGCAGTAGTCGCAGAAGTAGCGCTTCCCCATCTTTCCTGATGCCGAAGCCGAAGCTCGACTTTCATATACGAAGCGCTCTCTTCCGCAAAGCCCGCCGGGAAATGTAGTTCACAGAGGGAGCTTTACTATGAGCAGCAACGGAGGAAGGACTGCCTTTCCCAGAGAGCAGCGCGTTTAGCTATAGAGGGGGAGGGGCGTAAATGCGCAAGCCTTGCTGGGAGGAGCAGTCATTGTGTTGACAGCGAATAGCGATGGAGGGCGGAGCATTGCGCAAGGGGCGGCTTTTCATTAGCCGATTGCCCCTGCGCATGCGCAGTGCAGAAAGAAATCCAAAATGGCGCTGAGCCGGCGGCTGTACAATTTGCTCTTTCGGCGGACGTCGACCTTCGCGCTCAGCATCGTCGTGGGCGCCTTGCTCTTCGAGCGGGCCTTCGACCAAGGCGCGGACGCCCTCTTCGAGCACCTCAACAAAGGGGTAAGCGGTAGGCCTCACCAGGAGTCGGGGGGGGGGGGG